AGGATTAATTCTTTCCAGTATTTTATCTGATTTATTATGAGAATGTGATGCCTGATCATTTGCACCCACAACATCAAAAATGGGGGCAAAAGGGAGGAGACCACGTTTAATCGATTATAACACGAGGTCAGAAATATAAGTGCTGACATGAGTAGTGTCCACAGAAACCTCTGAATCTCAGCTAAAAGCTCATGTAAACCATGTCTACAAACACCAAACAAAGCAAAGACACCAGACAGTTAAAAGAGCAGTTACGTCACCATGAATCTGTGGACAGCTAATATCCATATTTTGATTTATGATTTTCTGGAGTTAAATGTGAACCGAAACATATTTTCAAACGTGTTATATGCTATAAAATACTTTTAAAAATTAGGTGAGGGAAATAAAAAATCCTGTTTTCTATGTTTGAGTCACAGTAACTTTGACATAGTAACATCTGCAGTAATATTTAAAGCTCTGATGACATCTCACCAGTGTTAGCTTTATTTTGACACCAAGACTGTTTACACAGAGTTTGTAATTGCAGAGAAATACATTTATTTTGGTCATTTCCTTTTCGAGCAGGAAGCTCACCCTTCTTGTTATACCCTTTAGATGAATACAGAGTTTTTAATTAAATACATATTCTTTAAATAATGTTCCCTTTTAGAAAAAGTAGGATAATTAAAAAAAACAAAACATTTATTATAGCTCTGTCATGTAGAAAAAAACCTGTCTCTTTTCTGTGGTCTATTATATAACATTAGGGGTGTTCGTGGCAATTAACTTTTTAATCGACTAAGCGGGTCAAGTAAGAAACACTTAAATATTGAGTTACATTTGAAAACTGTTTAAAAAAAAACATATCCCCATTCCACATTCCAAAATGTCATGTGACAATCTGATTGGCTTAGGAGTGATGATGTCACAAGGATGTCACAGGGATGTCACAAGGATCCTTTGAAGTTTTTCTATAAATAGGGGTGAGAAACAGCAATTTTCAGTTCGTTTCGTCGCAGCCTTTGTGTTTGCAGCCTTCAAACGTTCACTACACAAAAATTTGGAAACCTCTCAGAGTCATCGGATACAAACGCCAACATGTATCCAAGATTACGGCAACCAAGACAAAAAGATTTCGCCGCCTCTCCTTCCACGCGTGGCCGGCCAATTTCTCCAAATGGCCTCTTATCCATCCAAAGGGCATTACAGGAGAGTAGGAATGAAAACAACCATCTCCAGAACAAAATTCGACAAATTGAAGAAGAAAAACGTCACCTGGAGAAGAAGTGCTTACAAATGGAAGCACAAAACAAACACCTGGAAGAAACACTACAGCGCCAGCCCGACATCAACATTATTAATGAGGGCTGGGGGATCAAGTTTGCTCAAGCCAGAGAGCAGATTGTATTCCTCATCAAAGAAAACAAGAAAAAGAGCGCTGAAGTTAAAGAAATGTCCGAGCAGCTTCAAGGCAGGAAAGCGACGATTGATAAAATAGAGTGGGATCTGCAATACATGGACCAAATCAATCACCTGCTCCAAAGAAAGCTTGATGAAGCTGAAGAAAAAAATAAAGAAGTCCTCCAACAGAAGGAACAACAGGACACAAAGCAAAAAGACCTGCAGCGCGAACTCCAAGGCATGCAGGAAAAGTACAGAATGGTGAAGGCAAAGTTGGATCAAACACTGGTCCAAAATAAAGACCTCCTTCAAGAGAAAGAGCAAAAGCAAGAAAGACTGACAGAAGAAAAGTGCATTATCAAGGACTTTGAGAGTAAAAATCAAAAAATGCAAGAAGTCTGTAATGAACTGAAGGTCAAAACAAGTGAGCTGGAGGGAGAAAAGGAAACACTGGCAAAACGATGCTCACACATGCAGAAAAAGATTGATCACATGGCGAAAAACAACTCGGAGCTCATTAAGGGGATATTGTTGGAATTCAACAACTTGAAGCGGGAAAACACAGAAATGCAGGCCCAAAAGCAAAAACAAGACAAAACGCATGAAGACCTGCAGTGTACGCTCCGCGACATCCAGAAAAGAAATGAGCAGCTAGAAGGCCTGCACAAAGAAGATCAAGTGAGAAATGCAGACCTGCAGAAGGCAAAGCTGACACAGGAGGCAACATCCAAAGACCTCAAAGAAAAGCTTGAAGAAACACAAGCAACATTAGAACAGGTGGAACAAACATGCAAGAAACTTGAGAGGCAAAACACAGAAACCATCGATGAGTTGAGAACCCTCATCCTGGACAAAAAGGCGCTCGTGGAAAAGTCCATGAAAAAGAAGAAAAGATTCTTCAGCTTTTTCCGGTAGAGGGACAATACTGCTTCTTCAACTGATGTAGCCTCGTCTTGCTCCACCTCTGTTCACCCCCAACCAGTCCCGGCAGTTGACTGCCCCCTCCTGAGCCTGGTTCTGCCGGAGGTTTCTGCCCGTTTAAAGGCAGTTTTTCCTCCCCACTGTCGCCTAGTGCTTGCTCAGAGGGGATTGTTGGGGTTTTCTCTCCTCTACCTTCTTTCTTTATTTACTTGTTAACTTTTTGCTCTTACCTCATTTAACCTTGTTTCGTTATTTACTTGTTAACTTTTTGAACTTACCTCATTTAACCTTGTTTCGTTATTTACTTGTTAACTTTTTGAACTTACCTCATTTAACCTTGTTTCGTTATTTACTTGTTAACTTTTTGAACTTACCTCATTTAACCTTGTTTCGTTATTTACTTGTTAACTTTTTGAACTCACCTCATTTAACCTTGCTTCGTTATTTACTTGTTAACTTTTTGAACTTACCTCATTTAACCTTGTTTCTTTATTTACTTGTTAACTTTTTGCTCTTACTTCGTTTTACCTTGTTTCTTTATTTACTTGCTTGTTTAACTTTTTTTCAACTTATCTAACAAAATAAAACAGTTGAATTTATCCTTTGAGTATTGTTCATCTAATCTTTACAGAGTTTTTCCAAAACACTTTCAAACATTCAGATCTGTCTTTCATTTTCTTCTTGAAACCTCATGAACGGTGAACTAAAAACTCTGGAACATGGTTTGAAACACTGAAATTGTTTCAGCTGAAACTGGCAAAGTCATACGTGTGTGTGTGTGTGTGTGTGTGTGTGTGTGTGTGAGTGTCACAGGTGATATGGTGTCACTAGTCCGGTCATCATGTTTAGGCTCATTCACTCCAGAATTATTTAGGCCAAATCTTTAAAACAGTGTCACTGCACACACATTTCAATCACACAAACGCAGGATTAATTCTTTGCAGTATTTTATCTGATTTATTATGAGAATGTCATGCCTGATCATTTGCACCCACAACATCAAAAATGGGGGCAAAAGGGAGGAGACCACGTTTAATCGATTATAACACGAGGTCAGAAATATAAGTGCTGACATGAGTAGTGTCCACAGAAACCTCTGAATCTCAGCTAAAAGCTCATGTAAACCATGTCTACAAACACCAAACAAAGCAAAGACACCAGACAGTTAAAAGAGCAGTTACGTCACCATGAATCTGTGGACAGCTAATATCCATATTTTGATTTATGATTTTCTGGAGTTAAATGTGAACCGAAACATATTTTCAAACGTGTTATATGCTATAAAATACTTTTAAAAATTAGGTGAGGGAAATAAAAAAATCATGTTTTCTATGTTTGAGTCACAGTAACTTTGACATAGTAACATCTGCAGTAATATTTAAAGCTCTGATGACATCTCACCAGTGTTAGCTTTATTTTGACACCAAGACTGTTTACACAGAGTTTGTAATTGCAGAGAAATACATTTATTTTGGTCATTTCCTTTTCGAGCAGGAAGCTCACCCTTCTTGTTATACCCTTTAGGTGAATACAGAGTTTTTAATTAAATACATATTCTTTAAATAATGTTCCCTTTTAGAAAAAGTAGGATAATTTAAAAAAACAAAACATTTATTATAGCTCTGTCACGTAGAAAAAAAACCTGTCTCTTTTCTGTGGTCTGTTATATAACATTAGGGGTGTTCGTGGCAATTAACTTTTTAATCGACTAAGCGGGTCAAGTAAGAAACACTTAAATATTGAGTTACATTTGAAAACTGTTTAACATCTGTGAAACTGGAAACTGGTTTTCACACCCCTAGAAGCAAACAACAACACCCACAAAAAAGTGCTTTGATATTCTCTGAAAGAAAACTTTCAGAGGAGAAACAGATAAAAGTGTTGATGAAACCACAGACAGCAAGGTGATGCACAAAGTGTTTGATTAGTTGTTACTCTTTTTCTGTATCTAATTACTCATCTTACATCTCTTACATCAAAACTGTATTGTTTTTCTTTTCAGTTTACAATGTAAATTCATTTGATTATTTATAACATCCAAAACCCAATTTAAAATAAAGTTAAATATAATGCATATGTCTTTAGTTATCAGTGTTTGCTCCACAATGAGAGCTGTTTCCTTACTGAAACCAGGTTCTGGGTTCAAACTTCCTGGTCGGTTGGGGTCTTTGTTTGCAGTTTTTATGTTTATTTCATATGTTTGTTAGTTTATTTTGTGGCTTCAGCCCTGCCATGATCCTGGCATATTAATTAAATTCTTTCACCCAATTACCCATTCAATTTAAAACACAACACAACAATTTACATTTAGGAATGATAAAAATGAATTAATTAATTTGTATAACATACTTAAATAAATGTATACACATAGCATAATCGATGTGTTTCACATAGCAAATCAGTTATCTTTGCATTAACAAACTTTTCAGAATTATCTTGAATAAAGGATGTGGTTAGAAGCACTATAAATGTGTCAGCTTGACACGCCTACAATGAAGTGAACCGTTTTCCTGGCATCATGCACGGTCTGCAAATAATTCTGCTACTCAATGTTTTGACATGTCTCAAACAAGCTGGTAAGAATTGCAGTTTTTAGTCATTATTCTCCAAACATTTCATATGGGCATTAGCATGTTTTTTTTCTTTGAAGCACGTGGAAGTGACATCATTGGTGGGAGAAAGTCCCAAGGAAGTCAATGTTGTATATGGTCTCAGTGCAAAACAAAAGTGGTCATATATGTGGAGGATTTCTGATCACCGAAGACTTTGTTGTCACTGCTGCACACTGTGATAATGAGTAAGTATCAGTCTTCGTGTCATTTAACAGGTTTAGGAAATGTATTGAGTGCCTCTCAATAATCTTTGCTTCAGATACCCCACGCACGTTGTTCTCGGTAACCACAATCTCAACAAAGGCCAAAAAATAAGTATCAATAAAAAATTCAAGCCTAGATTCTATCTAAATGTTTTACTGGGTGACGACATCATGCTGCTTAAAGTAAGTACAACAGTTTGAAGTGACATAGTTGAGTGATCTAATTATCTACGTTACATTACAGCATAAGAATTTTGAATGTTAACTTTGTGATTTGATTTTGTATCTCTTCAGCTTTCTAGAAAAGCTCAGCTAAGCGACATAGTAAAAATAATTCGACTTCCAACTGCTAAAATAAACCTAAAAGAAAATGAAGTGTGCAAAGTGGCTGGATGGGGAATAACGGAAAATGGTACTCTAACCAATATACTGAGGGTGGTGGATGTGCCTGTCATTAACAAGAAAGTCTGTAAGAAGCAATATTCTGTCATAAATATACGTCTTCCCGCCAACGTTATCTGTGCAGGTGGCTACCCCACACACAAGGGATTCTGCCAGGTATGTTTTCTTCTTCTTCCTTTCACTGAAATTAATAACTGGTCTCTCGTTGTCAAATGTATAAACACCTTAAAATTCTTTCTTTTCACAGGGTGATTCAGGTGGTCCTCTGGTGTGCGCAGGATTAGCTGTTGGTATTGTTTCTTTTAACAAAGGCAAGTGTAACTACCCTAAAGCACCCAATGTTTATACAGACATCTCAAAATACCTCCTGTGGATCAATGCAATTCTTAAAAACCCAAATAGTTATTTGTAAAACTACAATTGTTTTTCTGCTGTATTGCTTCATTTTGCTGTCATTTTCTTTGTGTGACCAAAAACAGAAATAAAAATTGTATCTGCTAGTCCACGGTCTGCAGACCGTGACTGATATTGTTACTAATAAAACCATGGTTTTATTAGTAACAATATCAGAAGGGAAATATTTCATTAAAACAATAACAAGGGAGTCCAGAAAATAATTTGGTGTCACATGAAGAATAAGCAACATATAGTAGTATTAAGGTTATCACCATTACCATTTCAAGATGTTGCTGTTTTTCCATAAGATTAAAGTGACATCTTTTAGAGACCAGTATGTGTCACCACAGTAGTGAAAGTACATCTACACTGCTACACTGACTGGAACTATTTCACAGAGTGAGAGTGAGATGTCAAATAATCAATAGTGAAAGCATTATTTTTGCAATATATTTGGCAGCTAATGAGAAACAAACTAAATACTAACGAATATTCAATGTGTACATGACTGCTGAGTGAGCAACAGCAATAACCGTAAAAGAGACACTCATGTAAACAAACTGTAATCTGCAATGCTAGTGATGGGTAGATAAGGTCAAAATGTTATTAGTATTGATGCCATCTAGTGGTGTACAGATTGATAACCAATTTTCCTATATAAAATACGTTCTAGAATCAATTCTCATATTAAAATATTGATATTAAAATAATTTGTGGTAAATTAGAAGTTTATGATTGACAGGTAAACAGTGGAAATTAGCTATATTATTGAGATTGTCTAAATGATTGGTAGGAACTACTATTTCTGCTTGTCATGGTGATATGAGAAATAAATGCATCACGGCTCACATAGTAATCAAATCTGGCAGTCATTTAATCTCTTATGCATATCACTAAAATAGTTCAGAAAAAGTACCGACTGCATCTTAAGGATGTAATTTTGCTGAAGGAGTAATGTGTTTTTTAAAATTTGTTCACAACAGTGCTCTAACTGTACATCACCAAGTTGATTAAAAGAATGTATAGAGCATTGTTGTAATCTAATTTTGTACTGTGGTAATTTGTACATCCACATGCTTTTAGAATGTTTATAGATATGGATGGTCCAGTTTTGGATCACTGGGTGGTTGTCATACTTCGAGAGCAGGCAGGACTCAAACGCCGACTCCGAATGCAGTTCTGTGAATTTATATAAAATGATAGTAAGCCCCAGGGCAGACCCAGGACACCCAGGACCAGAGATTATATCTCTCGGCTGGCCTTAGAACATCTGGGAAGGCCTTGGTGTTCCCCTGGACAAGCTGGAGGAGGTGGGCTTCTCTGCTAAGGCCGCTGCCCCCGCAACCCGGCCCCAGATAAGCGGAAGAAGATAAATGAATGAATGAATGAATAACCAGAGTAAACATAAAATGCTCTTTGTAAATGATTATTTTATTAAATAAAGAAGAATTGTTATCCAAATCTACCTGGTCCTGTGTGAAAATGAAAATGCCCCTTTTGTTAAAAATAAATTAACTGTGATTAACCACATTTTTTAGTTTAGTTTCACTAAACACACTCAGGCCCAATTACTGGCAGACTGGGTAAATCAAGAACTCAGTTCAATAGAACCCATGTGACAAATCAAAGCAGGCTAAAAGAACTCAATAAACAACACTTCATACAGCAATCTAAAGAAACACTTGAGAAACAAAGTCACTGATAACTCTGTGACCGGCCTACCAAAATTACTCCAAGCGCACATCCATGAATTATCCAGGTCACAAAAGTACCCAGAACAACATTAAAGAACCTCAGGCTTCACGTGTCTCAGTCATGCTCAGTTCATGATTAAACAATAAAAAAGACTGGGCAAAAATGGCATCCATGGGACAGTTCAGGAGAAAACCATTGCTGACCAAAGAGGCATTTGCTAAAACATATCTTGATGATCCCCAAGACTTGAAAGACTGGACAAATACTTTGTGGAATAATGAGACAAAAGTTTAACTTTTTGGAAGGTGTGTGCACCATTACTCTCTGGCATAAAACAGCATTTCAAAAAAGAAAAATAATACAGAAAGTAAAATATGTTGTGGTTGTGTGACAATCTGGTTTGGCCTGCTTTGCACAAACATCAATATACACGTGCATAATACAAATAGGACCATGAAAATAGGTCATTACACAACTACAAAAACTGCCATGTTTGCTAACCGTACTGCTCTTCTGGATATCTTGATTCCTGCATTCCTGTTTTTCAGCCTGTTAGAAATGATCATGGAGCTTCTGCATGTGCGCTCCAACAAAACAGTGCTTTTAATTATATTTTGTGAGTTAGATGTATCAGGGATCCTGCACAAAGTACTTCTGTGTGTGTTGATTGTATTCATATATCTCCATGTACACGTGATAGCATTTAGTTTACATCACTCTGTTAATTAAGCTGGAGCTCGGAAAGAAAAGCGTCTGGACTTCCAGTTTCTTGAAGACGTTTCACCTCTCATCCAAAAAGCTTTTTCAGTTCTAAGAGCATAAAGAGTGATTCAAATGTTCTGTGAAGATATGAAATGAACGTTGAGAAGACAGGAAGTGAAAACAACCCCAAAAACCACAAACCACAGACAGAGTGCAAGGTAAAGCATAAAGTGGTCGACTATCTCCCTGAAAGATTTTTCACCCGACTTCCATGCATCATGCACGCTCTGCGAGGGTTTCTGCTCTTTCAAACTTTGACGCTTCTTAGACATAATGGTAAGATTTTATCCATTTCTTACAGATGTGCAAAAGTGTGTTGCTTTTAAATTTTGCACATTTGCTTTCAGCACTGGGGAGTCAAATCATAAAAGGTAGAAAGGCTGAGAAAAAGCAGATGATGTATATGGCATCAGTGCAAGACAACAATGGACATATATGTGGAGGTTTCCTTGTCAGTGAATATTTTGTAATGACTGCAGCGCACTGTGCTCCCAAGTAAGTAATCAAAACTCTTCATGCAACCTCAAATTCATCAAAACATAAACGTTCAATTTCTGTATTATCATTAATGTAGGAATCCTACAAGTGTTGTTCTGGGCACTCACAATCTCAAAAAGGTTGATGACACAATGAGATATGATGTGAAGATGTGCAAACATTCTTTTAAGGATGTTCTATCTGGAAATGATATCATGCTTCTCAAAGTAAGTAGATAACTCCTGAATCTCATAGACATGCATCTCTTAGGTCCTGTATCAGGTTTTTGCTGCATATGTTATGTTGATGCTATATAGATAGATTTTGTCTTTTGTTTTTGTTTTAGCCAAGTGTTGGCTAGTAGCTGTTTGACAGTCACCATGTTGGTGCACAAATACCATTTTATGCCTGTCAAACTGCATTATCCTCGTCACTGTTCAAAAAGAACTCTAAAAACCTGAAATGTTCTGAAAATGGTGAGGTATAAGAACTGGATATGAAATGAATTTTATGCATTTCAGCAAGCCATGTGTGAAGCCTGGCTCCTTGGAAGCAAACTATAAAGAAATAAGTGGTGCCTCAACACTTTTACACAATACTGTAGTTTATTTTAAGTAACTGGCCCTGGATGTATTACTCATGGGAAAGCACATGAAAGAAAGAAAGTTCCTTATTGCTTGCCTTTTGCATTATATGTGATACAAAACAAACATGTTTTTATTTAGTTTAACAATGTGTTGCACATTAATAGGTATACTAAATGTTAGTGATGATTATGTATTGTAGTACATATTGGTTATTCAACTGACCAGCTACACATGTGGACACTCTGTTATGGTTTGGATTTAAACCCTATTAAATTTGCCTTAAGTATTCTCTTTTCTATCTCATTCCTTATTTTCTGCCACTAGCTGTCCAGGAAAGCTCGCCTGGAAGGAAACAAAGTTATTAAGCCAATTAAACTTCCACATCCAAAAATTAATCTAAAGGAAAACAAAACCTGCAGTGTAGCTGGATGGGGGGCCATAAAAAGTAACGGTGAAAGTGTTGACGAGCTGCAAGTGGTGGATGTCCCCATCATTAACAAGGACAGGTGTCAGAGTGTTTGGCAGAATATGCTTCCGGCTAAAGTTATTTGTGCAGGTGGATACTTTAAAAACAAAGGAATCTGTCAGGTAACTTTTTTTCTATCTACAACCTATGATATTAAAAAAAAGATTGATGATTGATGGGCAAATCAAATAATAATATTTCCTCCTCACAGGGTGACTCTGGTGGCCCTCTGGTGTGTGACAATTTGGCAGTTGGTGTCGTTTCCTTTAACAACTACAAAATCTGTGACTATCCGAATGTCCCCAACGTTTATACAGACATATCAAAATTCCTTTCTTGGATCAAACCCATTCTTAAGAAAAAGAAATGCTACTAATCTCTGGCTGTCTTCCACAGTGCATCTTTTGTCCTACCTTCTTTCCCTGGGCTCCAACCAGTCATGATCATTTTGTTAGACCTCAATGGGAGTTTTTGCTGTAATCAGAGCTAGATTTTCACCATTAGGGGGCAGCGTTCAATTAACTTTTCACATCTGTCAGAAACAAGAAAATGGAGAGTTTGGTGTGAGATCAGAATAGTGTGTGTGGTGAGAACCATTTACTTACTGAAAGAAGGTTCTGGGTTTAAAGTTCCTTGTTGGCCAAGGTTTTCTCTCATAGTTTACCGACACACTTGTTTGCTTAATTGATGATTTTAGATTTTACAGTGAATGGTTTTCTGTCTCCTTGTTTTACGCCTGCAACCAACTTGCAGGCTGTCCAGGATGTACCGTCCCTCTCACACTATGATAGCCAACTCTTCCTTCTTGACACCAACCAACAGCACCTCCTCTGTGAGATTACTGCAGTATTTCATGTTTCAATATGAATATCATTTACATTCATTTCATGCAGAGAAATGTAATCCTGAGTCAAGATGTTCTGTTACACTGTCAGGTGTCAGGAATGATTAAATCTCTTTAAGCATTTTGGCATTACAGTGAGTCCAAAAGCAAAAAATAAAACCTGAAGCTTGAAACTGTATTTTCTCTTACTCATGTCATTTTCAAAACTTTTTTGGGGAACTTTGCTGTGGGAACATCCAAGGAACAGGCCAAAGGCTTTAGTTTTTTCCACTTTAAAAAGCAAAACATTGCTATAGATACAAAAAGAAAATTGCTTCAACCTAAGACCCGTGACGATAGCCAAAAAAAGTCTCAGAAAACATGGATCACATATGAGCCAAAATATAAAATGCCCTAATACTAAAACCATGCATATATGAATTCGGTATCTCAGTAATGTTTTAGTTCTGCACGCAGAACATGCAATATGTCTAACACCTTGTGAATATGCATGTATCTGCATTTGCTGCTGTACTTGTGGCTGTTTGTCTAAAGCAAGTTTTTTTAGTCAGCAACATTTTCTAGGCATTTATACATGTTCAATCAGATTGAAAGATGGGAGATAATATGACTCTTATCTGCTATATGCTATGGAGTAAATGTAACTGCACTAGTTATTAGCAAGCCATTGTTGTTTAAGTCATTAGCCAGTGTGTGAATGCAGTGTTTTCATCTCCGTGAGAATGCTGACATTATGACCGGTATCTGGTGACTGTGGTTTCTTTGATTCAAAAACAGTTTATTACACTAATCACATGTGTTTTGGTAG